CTGATTTAAAATAGTTGCTTTTTTTAATCGATTGTGCAATTTATTGTAATTTTGAGATTTTTTCTGGCATAGGAAGAATTCTACTTTTGAATATTAAACTTATTAATCTTTTATTTTGTGAATTCTCCCATTTTTTTCATGCTTGCAAAGACCTCTCACACTTCAGTATTAGTTGAGATCCATGTATAATTATTCTGTTTAAATTCTTTTACATTTGTTTTTGTATCTTGTCTTGGTTTTACAGTGGGGGAAGGAGTTGTGCACTCCCTAAACTTTTGGGGGGCTATGGACATGAGAATCTGAGGAATGCTGTGAACCCCCAGAAAATGCACCCATACTCAATAGTCATTCCTTTGGGGGGGGGGAAGCTGGCCAGTATGGGGATCCAAACCCTTGACCTTGGTGTCGTAACCCCATACTAAACAAAAGTCAATATTCTTTACCCACATCTCATGTATACACAGAACCCATAAGCGCCTTCCCTACAAATTCCCTTATACTGAGGCTTTTTATTTCTCTTTAAGTAACTTGCCTGTGTGCCATGTCAAACTGAGACGGTCTCTAACAGACCATGGGGTTGGAAAAAAAGATATTTCTACTTGCTAGTGTCTTTTCTTTAAAGCAGGCCCCCAAAAGGCCTTCATTCTGTTTTATGAAACTAAGGAAATGTTACCCTTTAAACATTAGTCACTGAAAAATCTACATTTCTCACTCCAGGCTGGTGTCTGTCTGGATCTTTTCCGAGACACATGATATAGATTAAGTGCATGATTTTTCTCCCATCACACATAGGGAACTGGAATTAATTCCATGCAGGTGCAGGGGATATTGGAGGTGGCTTTTGTTTGGCAGCACACATTGAATCCCCTGACATTTTTTGCTTTAGAGTTCTCCATGCCCTGCCCAACATGACAAACACACGGCTACATGACTAATCCCATTTCATCCATCCAAATTTGCCTTCTGAACATTCCAGAAGAAAACACTATCATAAACATTATATTGGTCAACCTTACATCTAAAGGGTAAACTAGTTCTTTATAGAAAACATTTCATCTTCTATAAAATGTTGTTTGATTTTTTTTAGAAATCAAAGACAGTTGAATTAAGTCACTCTCTTGGTCACAACCGTACCTTGCCAATGTACCATTTCCTTCACAGTAAAATGCCCCTTGGAATTCAAGCTTCTTATCCTAACTCCTCAGCCTTGATTAAGGAAACAAGCTTTAATTTCTTTTCATCTGCTCAGCTATTTTGGAGATAAACAGTTCAGTTTATTCACCTACCTGTTAGCTGGATGCTGCCAAGCTCTCCCCGGTCACAACCTGAGCATGAAAGGCAAAGTATGGGGTAGAGTAAACGGTAGTAAAATGATGGGGGAAAAAAGAGGTTA